GTGGAGGCGCGCGCGCGCGCGTACACACTTGCGGCGGCGGCGGCGGCGGCGGCGGAAGAACGTGGAAGGATGGAGAGACGCACAAAGGTGTGGGTGGCGAAGGGAGAAGAATCGGATGGAGAGGAAAGACAGGGAATCAAAGGGTGACTCGGAACTCGCGAAAAAGAGAGATAGAGAGCGAGAGAAGAAAACAGGAGAGCGAAGGGAGAGAAGTTGTGAACGCGCCGCCGCGTGAACAAGTTCTCGTCTCGCGGGAAGAAAAGGATGTTCCGGAATACGGAATCGCACCGGTAGAGCGCACCGGGAAACCTTGTAAATTTTGCCCGCGCGAGATACGCGCGCCTGTCGAACGAACACGAGACGAAAGCCAAAATCGCGATTTGTTAAAAGTATACAGGTCACGCGACACACTGACGACGACCGAGCGAGAGTTTCTACTCGAACGGTTCGCGAAAAGCTGGTCCTGAAGCGACTCGCTCTTCAAACCGGTACCATCCGACGGCGGACCACGGCGACGACGACGACGACGACGACGACGACGGCGGCGGCGGCGGCAGCAGCAGCGACAGCACTCGCTTACGACGCGAACGGCATGCTCGCTCTCACTAGTCATTCGCTGCACTCGCCAGTCTCTCTCGCCCACTCCGGAGCGACCTCGAGAGTATCTGGAGAGTATCTAGATAATCATCTAAGTAGAGACGCTCTCTTACGTGCCAGATAACGCGCCAGAACGCTAGCGCAGAATTCGTACGATCGACTCGTTTCGATTAGCACCGTTCATTGATGATCGTGATGTCTATGGAAGACCGTGTTTTGTTTCTTAGAAATAAAACAATGAAGAAATTAAATTAATTGAAAATTAATTAAAATGACAAAGCCATAATTGAGAAAATAAACAATTATATGTTAAATATTGTATTAATGAGATAAGATAATTTTTTTACCTCTCTCTCGATATGTCATATTTATAGACTCACGTGTAGATTTGGATCAATTAGTGTTAAATAAAAAATGACAGTTCCGCGCGTAACACGCCGCGAAATTTTCTTGTCGACAAGGAAGATAACTATTGTATCGAAGCAAGATAATATCAACTCATCACAAGAAGATATTTTATTGCAATTGAGTTTTTCATATATTAACTTGATATATTTATTAAATCATTTTTAAATCATTATTTGATGACGTAAGCAACGCAGATTACCGATTGAGGCTTTCGATCATGTAATTGTTCGTGAACCGGCGTTTATAGAATAAGGAATTGGAAGCAACTTCGAGCGAAGATAAAACTTTATTACAAGCATCGGGGAGTGATATTGAAGATATCCCTGTGAAATTGTTCCGAAAATTCTTTAAATACGGAATGTCGATCAAGTGATGTTGTCCAAAAATTGCCTAAAAAAAATTATAAATTCTTTTAAAAATTTAGAAACTTATGAAATTAAAATATGATAGAGTCTCTACAGTCTTTAAATAAAAAACATGAAGAGATTCCCGATAGCTAAAATAAAATATTAAAAAATATTGGAGTCGGCGCGGTAAGAAACGTGCAGTTAATTAAAACATATAATATTTAGCGGATTAAGTTTAACTAATAACATAACTTACAATATTAAATACATGATCTCTCATACTTTGTCTTTTTCGACATTGAAGACAGCTCAAATGGAGCCGAATCGAGTTAAAAATAATAAAATATAAATCCCAACAAAATTCCAAGTTAGAAGTTCTCTCTCTTTCTCTCTCTTTTATTCTTTAAATTCCCTGATTTTACCGTGACGTTCGTCTTATCCGAAAACGTTCGATGGCATTGCTTGAAGTCAGCATCGCGTGGGAATGACAGGGTCGCGTGCACTTGTTGCCTCTGTTGAGCTTTCTTCCGTAACATGTATGATCTGTCAGTCGTACGACGGATACGATCTACATCGTCCAACGCTTCCAGGGTCGGCGCCAACTTGGAATCGCGTATCCTCGCGAGCTCGTCTTTCTCTAAAATCTCGTCTGCTCTCGTGGCTATTGCAATCAACATTTTCTGACGGTCCTGGATTGAAATTCTCCATGAATGATGCCATTGGATCATGTGAGCGATCAGATGCGCGTCCACGCTCAATGGGATGATGTTGGTCTGCTCTAAATATCTGCTAAGCTCCTTCCACATTTGACCGAGTTTCAATTGTAGATACATGTCAGCGCAACATAGTGTTACCTAAAAAAAATCCGAACACACTGATTCTGATATTATGTAAAAAATTTGATATTACTATGTTAAGCAAATGGACTGAGGGATAATGTATCTTACGTGATCTTTCGTTGGTAATTCCTCAAGTAGAATCTTATAATGATTCTTAGCGATGTTGTATTTTTCGGTGTCTCTCTCAATTATTTTCAAAATACTAAAGATTTTCGATCGCACCGAACCCATCATGTCAGTTATAGTGGGACTAACGTTTTCTGTAAGCTGGAAACGATAGGTGTCTATCCACTGCTTGATGCCCATCTGAGGAAATTCAGGATCTGAAATTACAAACAAATTCAATTACGTATAATTAAACAAATTTGCTTAACTTTTCGTTCAAATTTATTTCGTAATTTACATAAATAATTAAAAAATGTTTATATAAATATTCCGTTTGTTTAGATAAATATTTCTTAAATAAAGAGAGCTTCTCTGCTTTTCCGATTATTGAAAATATTCCGTATTTTTCCGTTCTGAAATTTTAAGCGATTTTTAAGAATTTAAAAAATGTTAAATTAAAGTAGATTTTCTGTGGAAAAAATGTCTTCGTATATGAAACTCGACGTTTTGATTCGCGAGATTGTACCTGCTATGGAACCATCGGCGTTTCTTTTGATGCCGATCCTGTCTTCCTCTTCTCGCCAAATACTCATGAATAAAGATATCAGACCTGTCTTCTTATCAACGCCTCTCCAGGTGCAGAAACATGGTCCGCAAAAGGTGTTATCACATATATCAGTCAGTGCAGCGAGATACAAACATCTTACAGGGTAGCTCGCGACCTCAATGATGTCCAACATAGAGTACAATCCACCGCCGTTCAAGAAAATTTGAAGATCCTCAGGACATTGCACTATGCATTTCCAAACGTAAACGCCTATTGCTAGCAACAGTCTGTCAAAAAATGACAAAATGTTTATTTATAATAATACTTGCTCTATTTTTCATTTCAATATGTAAATTCTTTCTAAATTCAATACGTACATTTCTTAAATTTTATAATAGCCTTAATATTTATAATCATTGACTAGTAATTAGTTAATACAATTTATTAATTAACATAACAAGTTAATTAATTAAATAATTAATATAGAAAATTATAATAAAAGCCGACAAAATAATATTTGTATGAATTGTTTAACAGCAACGTTACCGCTGATCTACTTGAAAATCCTCATTTCTTTGATGTAGATACTTTGCGAATAATTGTAAAATAAGCTCGACGTTTTGTTGTGCGCACATCTGTTGAACAAACATTTGTTTTTTCATAAGCCCTTCTAGGGAGATCAATAGCAATGTTAGAATTCGTTGCCTCCTCATCGTAAGCTTATCTAAACTCATTATATTGCTGAATAATTCTAAAATTAGAAAGTAATATTTTTTATTAAGAATTCAAAGATCATTGTAAAAAGATTACATCAATTTTTACTTGTCTGTGAAATAACTTATAATATTTCTTACTAATTAATAACGGTATCATTCCCTGTTTTTGGAAATCCTCCAGAAGAAAAACATTGTCTTGCAGAATAATCGAGCAAACGGATCTTGTAAAAATCATCGCAAGATACTCGTCGAATTCCACGTTCAAAATTTGCTTGAGTATCACCAGTAATCTATGAGTATTAAAATTTCTTTTATTTGGCTCCTCATTAAAATCCGATTAATTTTTTTATGTTTTTTTTTTTTTACATAAAAGTGCCTTTGCGCTTCACAAATTCCGTTTCTATTCGTGGAGCTAACAGTGATAAAATATGCATTGCATACTCCAAAAGAATTAGCGATGAAGATTCTTTATCTTCTTTATTGTTCATGCAGAATTTAATGATTCGAAGAATAACTGGCATAATCATCGCTTTGTCCATCATCTAAAAAATTAAAAAGTTATCTGTCAATATATGTTTCTTAAAATTTAAAATTAACATATGTTTTTGTTAAAATAAATATGTTTTGAAATTGAATCTTTAATCCTAGAAAAGTCATATTTAAAAAATAACAAGTTTAAAACATTTTCTATTTTTTTTTGTTTAAAATTTTTTAAATAAAATTGATGCGAATAATTTACGAAGATGTAAATGTCGATATCTGCGAGGTAAGCGATGATCATCAGTAGGATCTTTTTGAAGAAGAGGTCCTCATTACTGTCGGAGAACTTAACATTTTCTGCCCATATTTTAGTAGAGCCAGATTCAATTGCAGATAAAAGATTGACGATATCTTCCGCGATACCACTACTGATAAGATCCCACGATGGTAAAGCCACTATTCCAGCGAAGATCAATGCGGCGATGTCGTTCCTGATCCTCAAATTTACGGCACAGTATTGACCACGAAGTATCTGTCGCTTGAAGGAATACCTTAAGCCCCTGTACTGCGTCAGAAATCGTATATTTTATGCTTGATAACTCATCTCTATTAAAGAAGAAGCTACATAATAAATACACAAATAAAATCGTAGTAAAATATTTAGTTTTGTTATACAGACACATTCTCTTTTTTTTTTTAATTTGTAAAATAATATCTTACAAATTAAAAAAAAAAAGAGAATAATGTGTCTGTATAACAAAACTAAATAAAATTTATTCTATGATTACTTTTCTATCACATTGTCGTTAAATTTTTAATTGCTAATTGATTAAACCGTGCTATCAAATGATACCACATGGCGCATCGCTTGGGCGATGGGAGGTCCTTCAGGTGTTCTGGTAGCGTTTTCAAAGATAACACCGATCTCATGAGGCTCCACAAGAGTTTCATTATCAAAAGCATGATGTCCCACGGATATTCCTCTCCCTCAAGGGGTATGTCCAGCGGTGCAGTGCAGCGCAGTTCCGTCGCGTAAGGAAGATCCATCCTGGTTAACAAGGTGTTCAGTATCCTGGCCTGCAGCATTCTGTGACCTTTATTCATAAATGTAAAGTTGTAGTCTATGCACGTAAAACGAGAGACGCCAGAGATATTCTTTGAAAATCATCTTTGCTTTAATGTTCCAGCATGCGAGTTATTCCTTGGAATAATATTTAAAATGTGAGCTTAATATGTAAGCATTCGGTGTAAAGAACATTTAAGATTGAATTGAATTGAATTGAATTGAGAAGAGCAATATTTTTCTAATAATTTAAACAATACATAAAATATCTCAATTCGCGATTACTCACAACATTGATTTGAGATCGAGGCGACCATATAAGCCAGTTTCAAGATCTTCGGATATATTTTTGGCATAGCAGCCTCCAGTAGTTCAATGATGATAATCGGCAATCTAGAATTCTCCATGGCTCGACGACGAAAATCTAATTTCACTGCCGCAATGTTCATCGGTTTCGTCTGCCTAATTAATAAACAATCAAGAGCCTCGTGGATCCGTTCAACGTCTTCTTCATTGGGCAAAATTGTTAGAAGGTAACCGAGAAATGTAAAATAGTGCTCTATTATGACGGAACTAGTGAGACTCTCGGAAGCTTGTTTCAGCAAAGGCGGTTTACTGCATAACTGCAACATCCTATTCAAATGCTTCCGATAGTCATTAATTTCTCTGCTCTTCCAGGCTAGAAATTCTAATATCTTCATTATGAATGGCAGGTGTTTGACTGGCTGTGAAAGGTATCTTTAAGAAAACACACTTAGAAACGATTAGAAAATATCGAATAAGCTGGAGCAAGTGAAAGCAAAATAGATATAACAAAGTATAAGAAATTAATTTTTAATAAGTTCTTATTAATTCTTAAATAATGCTTTTGTGTGTGTGTGAGTGTGTGTGTGTGTGTGTGTGTGTGTGTTACAAAAAATACTACTTAAGGCCTCAAAGATATTTTTATTAATTAATTATCCTTGAAAATTAATATAAATTTTACGTTCCTAAATTATAATTTTTTAAAAGCAAGTGTAACATTTCCTATTTTGTCACATAAAAATTAGCTGACTTAGGAGATTCTCACGCTATTTCCTAGTCAATAGTCAGTTTATTTATAATAATAAAACAAATTAAAATAATGGAATAAAAAGATTACTGATGATATCTTATGCCATTATACATAATTATTGTTAATTTTATGTTCTAAATATTTTTAGAATGACAAAATAAAAGTTATAAGATGTTTATTTGATGTATACACATTGTCTTCATCCATATATTCTAGCTTTTTATTAAAGAATATAAATTTCTTGTAAACTGTACGGTCAGTTTAAATAAAACTTTATGAGAACAAACTTAAGTGTTTAAACTGCTGTCTTATACGCAAGTGTCTCAATTTAAAAGAGAATAACTCTAAAATAAGGTTACATCTTCAACTTGTAATGTAAAATTCTATAAATTTAGAATTGAATACTTTCAAAATAATACGGTAAAAATCAATGAAATTTTTTCTAGATATTATTGATATCATTAACATTTGTATTACGTGTATATTATAGACTTGTCTTATAATTCATCAAACGTGAGAACTTTCTTAATAATTCTCAGTCAAAGATATTCTTATTTTTAATACGCGTAAATTAAAGGATACGTAACCGTCGTCGCCGATTTCATGCAAGTAATCAGATAAAAGTCGTGATATCCGCTCAACATGATCGTTGGTGACAGGATCCGACATGAGTTGTCGCAATTTCTCTACAGTATAATCCACATCTATTTGGCGACATTTTTCTGCATCATTCAAATATAATGGGCGATAATGACAGTTCACGTATTTTGGATAGACCGACTTCTTGGCGACAAAACGATAATCTTGCTGTTTCCGTTCCATTCGAGCTTAATAAAAAAAAATGGTTATACAAATTATATAGCAATCATAGATCTTGAACATTAATCATACATTGATAATAAATTAACTTCGCGTTGCAAATCGACTGTATCTTGTTTCGCTCACGATATACTTTTTCTGCTGAGCGCAGCTGATGATTGCAAAGTTGTCAGGTTCGTCTGTGTGATACATTATTATATTATACCGATAAATTAAGACAACTCGAGTCTCGATGAAATGAGAAACGCACCAAAAGAAAGATCCACGCAAACCGGTAACACATGTTTAACGATTAATGAGAAGCAGATATTCGCATTAAAATTGTAATCATACAGTAATAATTACATTAATCGGATTTATTAAAATTTAAGAGGATTCTATTTTACAGAAATGAAATAAAACAGCGAAACAATATTCTCTGTCTCATTAATTATTTTATTTAAATGTTTTATAATATATAAATTGTGTTAAAAATAAACGTGACGAGATAACTTAATGAAAAAATAATGTCTTAAAAGTAATAAAAACTCTGATTTACAGAATTTTATGTAAAATATAAACATTATATGTAAATATTATTTGCACAAAGGAAGCAACGTAGGTAAAGATAACAATCCACTAACTGGCGCTCCCTGGACGTTAACACGCCAACTCACAAGTGGATGAAACGAGCCTTTCCTTTCTTCTTCAAATTGTGCTATTCAAACATATTCTCTTATGATTATGCAGTCCAATGTCATCCAATAAATATGGAAACATATCCTTATAAATCGACACTCGTTATTAATCAGTATTTGTACAGTAATCAACTTACAAATTTTTTTCACATCTCCACAAACGTGTTAATTAACACGTTTAAAAAACTTAACTGTAATCGGCAGGTGTCTTCACATATACACTTACAAGTAATAGATGCTTCACACACATCACTTACGAATAATAGGATTCACTTAATACAGAATGTTAAAAGAGAATTACAGATAAATTTTATTGTTACATTTTCTTATCAAATTGATTAAAAATAATTGATTAAAAATTTTATTAAATATTATTTTCCTTTATTTTTTTTAAATTTCATATAGTTTCATTAATTGAATAATTGAATTGATTTCGAATAATAGAACACTGTTTAAAAATTTTGAATAAAATCTGTTTTGCGTATATAAAATTAAACAAATCAAAATTTATTACTTATGACTATCACACAGATTGTCTCGTAAAAAACTAATTATCTTTATTACTTATATAATTTGAAGAGCGAGTTTTTCTGAACCAATTCTCTTAAGAAGAATTTTCCTTCCTAAAGTTTGTATCTGCAATTTCCTGACACCCTGTATACCGAATAAGATTCTTGTCTCAAAGAGACAAGAGAATTCTATATGTTGACGGCGAGGCATGCGCGTTTCGTTTGATCTTTCCGCGTTCGTATTTTTCCGCACAATCGCTTTTCCGAAAAGTGGGAAAATTTGATTTACAACCGAAAAGTGGGAAAAATTAACTTCATCTTCTCTCGACTCGACTCGTTTCATTTCGCGTCGCGACATGTTACTTACTGATCGGCGAGACTTGGCCAGATGCGTTGAACAGGCAATCTGTCCCATGGCGGTTACAGTCACAATCGTATACACACACGCAATTGTCTACACGCACGCACGCATGTATGTACTCACACACGAGTAAGTGAACGTGCGTTCAGGGCCGACGTCAAGTTGGAGTATAAATGATCGCACTGACTTATGCATAATACAGATATACATATATTCTACAAATAATAAGTAACGAAATTATCTTGAAATTAATCTTGTTAGATTAAGGCTCAAAATTAATTAAAAAGCCGCAATAATTATTTTATAATTACTCTATAGATAATAATTAAATATCTGCTAATTAGATTATAAAAATGATCAAACATAGGGCAGTCTTTGTGATAAAATCCTATTTTTAAGACTGTTTAAATCTCGAGGTGATATTTGATTATTTTATTAGCTGGATGAGAGACTGGACTTGAAGTAATTTTAAATATAAATAAAATAAGAAATGGAGTCGTAAGCCAAAAAAGATTTGTTTATAATTCAAAATCACATTAACATAATTAAAATTAAAATTTATATGTCAATTCTAACTCAATTTTATCTGCTAAGTCTTAAATAGATTAACGATTTTAATCTTTAAATAAAGGATCATGTTACGAATGTTGTCCATAATTGTAGATTTAATTATACAGAATTATGTAGGTTACATAAATGTATTTTTTAATCATGGAAAATTGAAAACGGAAATAAAGGAAAAAAATTCAGGATTCAAACCCTCTAGACGAGGGTTTCGAGATCTTCGCCTACATCAGTAGCCATAACACAGGTGCGATCGCGCGCACGCGCGCATCGTGGCCGCTCGCGTGCGCGTGTAAAGTCGAAGACCAAAGTAAGCGAAGCGGCGACGACGGCAGTCGCGACGCTGACGCGAGGCGGTGTATCGCGCGGTGCGCGAGTTTGCCTCGCGATTTTCGACTCCGTGCACGCCAACCAAGGCAGCATCGCGCTTCGTTCGAGTGCTCCAGGTGATACCGAAGGTCTAAATTGTGAAATAGAAAATTTTGCACGGAGATGTGACCAATTGTTCAACAACGGCGACCTTGGCGGGACGGTGAGTGACCTCTGCGACGCCGCTCTTCTTCCTACTCTTTTGCGCTGCCACGGAGCACACGCGTGTGTGCGAAGCGTTTTCTTCTTCTTCTTCTTCTTCTTCTTCTCTTCTATTCCCGCTCCTTCTTCTCCCCTTGGTTATGCACCGCTGTATAGGTATTTTCCCACGGGAAAAGTGACCTTTTAATTGCCACGCCGGTTGCCGGTTAACGAACCGAGTCTCATTAACGAGTCTCTCTTTCCCGCGTGGTTTTTCCAACGATGGGAGAAACACGCGCGCTGTCAATCGATGACACCGCAGACTGTCAGAATAGATTTGTAGAAAAGTGCTGTACTATTAGAAAAGTAAAATCATCAAAAAGTACACTTAATTGTTGTTTATATAATAAAATACGAAAAGTTTATTTACGAAAATCTAAACACTTAAAAATATAAAAATGTGAAGATTTTTAAAATACGAATAGTTGATGGTTTAAAAATTTTTTTAGAAGGAAAAAGAGAGAGAAAAAGGTTCTATTATTTTTTTTTCAATTTTAGTTTAATCACTACAAGTATCTTGTATTATTATCCTTTAATATAACACATGATATTTATATGTTATATAAAATATTAGGTGTTGGAATTAATTCGTAGCGTTTTACAAGTGATGGGAAGTACTTTCATTAATGTATTTTTTAATGCTCATGTGAAATAAATAACATTCTTTCATTAAAAACGCTACGAATTAATTCCAACACCTAATAATAAAAAAATTTATTCTCTGAGTTAAGAATATAATTGAAGAAATAATTAGAGAAAAAGATATAGTAAAAGTATTTGATTGTTTTAAATTTATTTTGATAAATATTTATTAAAAAACACATCTTACACGAGTCTCATCGCTAAGTTTTGAAATTGTACGAATTCAGAGCGAGAATGCAGTAAATTGATTTTAAAATCTTACGATCCGACATTGTATTTAAAACGACATTGAACTTGCTTTATTTTTGCGCTCACCCTTGCGATTGAAATCTCTCTTTGAATTCTCTCTTTGAAAAAGAAAAAGCCCTTGAAAAGACTTGACCAGATCTCGCCCCGAGAAGAAACGCGCTGTCTCGGGGGAAATCCGATTTGAAGAAGACCTAAAACGAAAGGTCTGTCGGGGAGAAAGCATCCCTTGATACGACACGCGTTTGTGACGCGTGCGTTCCTCGGGCGAGCAAATCAATATTTGGAGGGTAGGCGTTTGCGTCCCGACGAACGGCGTCGAGGCCGACAGAACGTGAGTCACTCACCCCTGTAGCTGTCCGAGAAAGAGAGAACGAAGCAAAGAGAAAAGGGCTGCTGACCTCCCTTTCGCTCCCTTTTCTCGTGTCCGACACGCAGCAGCCCTTGTTACGAAAGTCTCGTTTTTTCTCGCAGACTTAAGCCGTTCGCTCATTTTTATTTTTATTTATTTTAATTTTTAATTTGTTTTCGTTATTAATAGTTATTAATTTGGATAGTCGTATGTAGATTTTCCGAAGATTTATTTTTTTTTTTTTTGAGTGTAACAACACAAAATAAATACGTTAAATATTAGAGATGTGCGAACTATTCGTATCCGACCTATTCAAAAATTTCGAATCTATGACGGATATTTATAGTCGGTTCTTATTTTAGGACCATTTTAAATAATGTCTTAAGTTCAGTCTTAACTTAAGGCAGTATTAAATATAAGAGTCGACTATAAATACCGACCTGAGATGTTTAAATATAAGAATCAAATACATATATTGACAATAATCTTAATCGCATACACTAGGTGTTGATCAATGAAATTATAAATATTCTAGTGAATTTTGTAATTTTCATCTTATTTCAAAAAACACAATCAACTCTCAGATTCGAATCGGTTCGATTTGAAGTTAAAAAACCTTAATTCGCCCATCTCTATTAAAATACATTAATTACATCAATTTTTGTTTTTTGATTGTTTCAAGATCAATTATTTACTTTAACGGAATTCATCATTACTAGATTCACGTTATAAAAAAAAAATACAATTCCTAAAGTAAGATTGAATTAGATTTATACATATAAAATTATATTGTGAGTTTAATTTATAGAGATTCGAAAACCAAATTGAAATTCTTTAGAAAATCTCAGTCTGCAACATTCTGTAGACATTATGTAAATTCTCTCGTTTTTCGAACGGACTTTGCCGAATGATGCCGCAAATCGATCCATCGCACATGAATACCTTCTTTAATTGAGACACTCGTCGGGTTTTCGGATGTCCCGGTCAAATGACCGGTCAACGATCAGCCAGCTGTTATGAACGCACTAATTTACAAGCAGGCTTCGCAGAAGCGTGAAGCCAAGTACGTGCACGCCTAAGTAAACCCATTCGTGCGAGAGACACGCATGTACTTACGTACATATACACGCGGTGGGAACAGGTTCCACATAAAATCAAACGTTCTTCCGTGGAACTCTTATCCATGCCGGGCATCTTCGCTGCATTGCACGCTGCCGCGCATCGATACGGGCCGTCGCGTTGGGAACCTTTTCGGACTTTTTCAACCCCGAAACGATTCCGAGATAATCTCGAGATACACGGCTGTGTATCGCATAAATCTGATTGAATCAACGAGATATACCGAAGATTATTATTAGGTTTTATAAGTGGCTATAAAAGCGTCAAGATCTCTTTCTAGAGAATATATAAAAATTTTACGATAAATGAGATCTGCATATTTTTTTTATATTACATTACTTATACTTTACCGTACATCTCAATTTGGAATTTATGGATAAAATGTAAGCAATATCAAAAATATGCAGATTTCTGATTTATCGCAGAATGTCTATATTTTCCTTATTAAAAATGTTTAGATCTGATTGTCAAAGGATATTTATAAAATAATAATTCCATAATTAGATCCGTATATTTTTTATATCGCACTGCTTACGCTTGATCTGTAAATTTGGAATGTTTTGGAAATTATATTTTATAACTTTGAAATTTATGAATATTGTAGTATAATAAGTAATGCAATATAAAAGATATGCGGACCTGATTATCGAAGAATTTTTGCATATTCCTCGGAAAGAGGTGCCGGTTCTTTTATTACCACTTACAAAACCTGATGATAGTTTTCGGTATCTCGTTGATCTCGTTATGTGTTTCCAGTTAAAAAACCGGATAATTAAAAGGTTGTAATAACGAAAGACAAACAAACAAGTAAGATTTCGTAAGAAATGATTTCTGCGGGCACATTATTAAAATATTACGCGGGAAATCGAAGCTAGCCACTGAAATATGCAATAAGTATCTCTCGTCGGCGCCGGTGATATCGATGCGTGTTTCGCGAGGTGTTCCGCGTCGCGTCGCGTCGCGTCGCGTCGCGTCGCGTCGCGTTGGCGACGAAAAACACCGCGATCGTATACGCGTCGCAAATCGATTCCGATCGTATTTGTGCGAGTTTACTCCACGCCCAAGCAAATCCGATGACGATCCCGTTTTCTATCCGGCCACCAGTAACGAGCGAAACGAATACCTCGCGGTAATCCTCTCTTTCTCCCTTTTCTCCGACCTTACCGTTACGCGAATATGGTTTTGTACTCGGATTTTGTAACGGTACGGATTGTGACTGCCACGGAAATAAAGAGATTTCTCCGCAAATGTTGCGTCCGTGTCGCCGTTAAAAGAGTACAGTGCACATCGCATCCGTTTCAACCTCGACATCGAATGCATTCCTTTCGTCGCCTCCTTTTTTCCACGCTGTCATTCACACGTCTTTTCCTCCGACAATAAGTGGAGTGTTGGCGAGTTAACTTCGCCGCTGGAAGCCACAGCTGGAAAATTTCTTCGGCGATTGTGTCTATTAAGGTCGTCAAGTGAATCTAAACACGCAATATAGATATATATATTTCTTCATTTCCAATAAATCTGTTCGTTGCTGCAATCGTATATCAAAAGTTAAATTGCAGACAATAACTC